ACCTAACTATACTATACTATATTCCAATTTAGCTTGCATATATCCTTGTTCAATATTCGTACAAACCTGGTTCCTACTGTAGCTTTCTACTAGGTTGGTTATTTGTACCTTCAGATATTACATGAGATAGACCCTCCCAAATCTGGTTATCACTTAGATTAGTATTGCTAAAAGAATCTGTGCCTCCAGATATCACACAGAACAGATCTTCTCAAATCTAGTTAGCTATCAAGCCAAGTTGGTGTTGCTATATGACCTCATATAATGGACTTATACATATCTATTCTGCTGATCTTTTTGTAAGCAGATTTCCTAATAAACTTACTTGCATCCTGGTCACTGATCTTTTCATATGCAGAATTTCTTTCTCGAATTAAACATTAACTAGTATGACCGTTGAAATCCATACTACTTCACCTAACTTAGGATTTCTGCTATGCAGATCCTCTGTCTATAGATTCTATTAAGATTTATTTGTATAACATTATGTTCCTCAGGCACTCTGTTACACTTCCAATATCTGAATGATATTAGTGCAATATGATTTACAGGGTTACAACCTCCAGAAATAAACAGGGTTTACTGTAAGTTGAAAGTAGATATCCAGGTAATTATTCAATTCTGTTGACAGTGGGATTTAAACTCTAGACCTTTTGTATAGCAGTCTGACAATCTAACTACTACACTAAGATTACTAGACCTAAAAAATTATTATTAAGCTACTATAAACTTTAAATTAGAGCTCCAATCTATTATTTATTTATCTATTTATCTATCAAATATTTAATATCTAAATATATTTAAATATTAGATTACTATTGATATCTGAATATCTATTAGATTATTTGGATATTAATAGTAAATAGATATTCAAATAAATTTGAATATAAATAAATAGATAATAAATTTATTCAAATTAGAACTTTACTTTAAATAATATAAATAATTAAAATTATAAAATAGTATAAAAAACTTTTCTAAAAAATATATATATTTATTTTAATTATTATTTTAATAAAAAACATATTTAATATATTTGAGTAAGTTTAGATTTGCAAAATCATTTATTATATATAATTAGTTGAACTTAGTTATATTAGTATAATATATTATATTATAATATAAAGATAAAGTTTCTGGCTTATAAGTATAACTAGTATTTTATATGTTTAGTGTAACTAATTTGTTTACTTTGTAATTAATATAAAGATAAATAAAATAAAAAGCAAGATCTTCTTGTAAGAAAAAAAAACAAAATATATTTAATATTATTGTTTTTAGACTTTTAATTATTTTAAAAAAAAATCAATTAAACTCTTTCTACTAATTACCAAAACCAATACCAGAGTAAAAACTTTTTTACAAAACAAGTACTAAACCTAAGGAAATCTAGTAAAATATTAGTTCAAAACAGAAATATGGAGTATATAGTCCTATAAGATCTTTAAGGCAATAAGTAGCAGAAAGCTGAAGTAAATGGTTCTAATATTTTAGCTAAAAGTTTGTCTTGCAAAGTATTAAAGTTAAAAAAAATAAGTTCATAGAAAGTTGAAGTTTGAAGGAAGAAGAAGAAACATACTACAGTATTTGTACTGAGACAAATACTTTTATATTTGTTTACTCCTACTTGATTTTTTGCACTCATCCACTTCTCTCAGTCCTTTAGATTTTCATTTTTTATTATTTATGAGGATTTAGCCTACTCCTAAAAAAGGATCAACAATACTATAATCAAATTAGTAAACATTACATATTTACAAACAACCTAATAGTAAACAATAATACATTTGATTAGGCAAGCACAGTCAGTAGCAAATTTAAATACCTCTTAGTAGCAGAGCAGAGATTATTAATTAGAAATATAAAGTATGTTGTAGTATCAGTACTTTATACAATTTTTACAAAAGTCTTAAGCACTATAGAGATAGTATTTGAGCAATATTTTCTTTTCTTTTCTTTTTTTGTTTTTTGTTTTTATTTTTCTTTATATGTTTATTATCTTATATATATTGTATATACCATAAAGAAATATAGTCCTTTATATATAGTATTTTTATTTTTTCTTTTCGCTATATAGAAAAGTATTATCAGTTTAGTAATATTTAACTATATAGGCGAGAAGTCATAATGAGCTAGGTAGTTTCATATAGTGATACTGATGAGAAAGAGATAAACTAGTCTGAACTCTAGGTTAAATTAAAACTATGTTATAGCAGATCGTGAATAGGTATCTTTGAAGTAACTGATCAAATCTTACCATTGATATTCGTATTTTGATGTGTACTGCCTTTTTTGGTTGTTAAGTTAGGCATTTGTAACCCTTGTAGTTTTATAATTATATTGAATAAATAATAAGACATGACTTGCTGAAAAGAAGAAAAAAAAAAATTATTTTAAAAATACAAAAGTTTTCTGAAATTCAGAGTTATCAAATTAAAACTAGTGTAGCTTACTCATAGTTTACAAACAATTAATTTACTAACTAGCTTATTTTACAAATAACAATTTCCAAAGAAGCTTATCTTATTTTATAGTTATCTATTTCACAAACAGTTCATTTTGTAAACATTATTGTTATTAGAATTAGAACTAGAATTAGGGTTAGGGTTAGAGGAATTTATTATCAAAAAACTTATTTGTAAAATGAGCTGTTTGTCAAATGAGATTATTAATAAATTGGTTGTCAATAAAATAAGGTTGTTAGTGAATTTATTGTCTATGAACTATTATATCTATGTAGTAATTGTCGGTGAAACGATAAGGCAAAAAATTTTAATAAAGAAACTTGGTTCTATTATTTTTAAAAAAAATTCATCGATGCTCAAAAAAATTCAAGTTTATAGTAAATTAAAATTCGAAATTTACGATTCTAAGCGAGTTAAAGTTTATCATAAACAATTGACATGACTACTGAAAATAATACAATTATTCAAAGCAAGTAACTAACCAAGAAATTCCAACAATAACTATCATTGCGGCCCATGGTGTAAAAAATACCGGACTAGTTCTAGATGCTGTGTTTGTATATAATGGAATGGTCACCAAACTTATAGTGCTAAAATAAATGTTTTAATACTCTTTTATCGGCATCATAATGATGTAACATAAATTATGATTCAAAATGACATGTCAATTTAGTATTACAGTAACACGAATTCTAAAGCGATGGATAACAGATACAGTCATCTCCCTCTAAATATTGGATCTTAATATCTTCAGAAAGTTCAGTTTATGAAAGTACTGTTATTGAATCCAATATTTATAAAAAAATTTATAATTAAAAAGTACAGTTAGAATTTATTAAGTGTTCGTTTCATCTATTTTTATGATATCACAAAACCTTTAGCTGTTATAACACTAATAATATAACAGCGCATTGACACCGTTAGCGTCCATACTATGCTAAAGCTCTGTTTTTAATAATTCAAATTTAAATTGATTGCTATAATAGAAATACATAGAAAATAAACAGAGCTTTACATCCTCTAATTATTTAAAATGTTCAACTGCATAAAATATCTCAATTAATAAAATAATAACTCTCCTCCCTCATAACAAAGTAGTATAAAAAATAGTGATTTTCATTTCCTTTATTCTCAACTATCGCTAACACGTTACTCTTCAAACTAGTATAACACCATGTACGGTTTAGTGGGAATTTATCATCTCATTTTACAGTACAGTACTAACTAATTCGCTGCATTTGCGCGACGCTTTATCTTGTTAACAATATATACTTGCTTTTAAAAAAATTCCTATTCGGATAGGGAATTTATTAAACAATGAAGAGTGAAAGAAGTTTCTAGAATCTATCCGTAATGTACATTTTGTAAAGAACGCCTTATGGCGTCCCTCTCGCGCGGGTTAAAAAAAAAAAATTATGGCTGGAATTAGAATGAAGAAAATAATAATTCTCCTAAAAAAAAGATTATCTAATAATCCTAGTTTCAATTTTATATATTCCAATTTTGTTTCAAAGTATAGATATGACGAAGTTTTGGTAATACATAATAAGCAAGGGTCTATCTTTAATTAGTTAAGTAAGATATCACAAAAAGCTATATCTCCGATCCGTAAATTTACAGAAATTACATAATTTTCTACTAACATAATGTAAATCGTAACGGGCCCCTAGTGTAAAGCACTAGAATGAACAGGATAATGTACCAACATCACCCCTCGATCTGGGTAACTTACAAGATTGATCCACACCTTACATTCAAGGAAGTCTGTCGCATACAAGCCATTAATTCAGTTTATGACTCATGACAAATACAAGTACATAATGCAGAAACAAGCTAGTAACAAGATCTCTGAATTACATTGCATGAATGTTTCAATCAGTAAATGAAACGAACTTAATAGTATCGGTATCTATCGGCTATTATACATTTAATTTTTAATAATAATTGACTTCCCACTTCGTACTATATGCACTAATATTGCACGGGATCATGAACCTTGGCACTAGTACTTGTACTTGTGCTAGTAACACCTAATTTAATTTAATAAGAACACATTTAATTATATATAATTTTATACTTCTGAAACTCAGCTGCATTTAAATAGCTCATAGTCATCGGGTAAACACGGAGAAAAGCATCGACGTACGAATATATCAAATCGACGTAAATAGTATCAAGCGACGGAAAAAATTTCTAAGGTTCAATACCCTTTCCTTTTTTGCATGTATGTAAAAGGTTCATCACGAGACCCAATCAATAAGCACATTATTTATTGTCACAGCCCATCGTACGTAAACATGGCATGATTAAAAAATTTTGCAATGCTGATCGATTTTAAAATAGAATTTATATTAACCAAATTTCTTATAAAAGGTCTTTGGATCTTTTCTCGATCTTTTTTTTTTTCAATATAATTTCGCTTTCCTTAAAATTTCAATATATGTCTATGATAAATAAAGACAACACATACCTGAAAAGAAGAAGGATAAAAAACGCTCAATCAACCTAATCGATTCATTAAAAATTTTGTTAAAAATGCCATCTGGAAAATCACAAATATCTCTCTCATCGGCTCCACCGCTTAAGACCCTTACTCCACGCCCTGATATCTCACAACTAGAAAATTTTGCCATGAGTGCTATGGCACCAAGCATGGCAGTTGTTTTTACTTTACCATTTGATACGATTAAAGTCAGAATGCAACTTCAAGGAGAAGTTAAATTTTTAAAGGATTCGACTGGCAAGACAATTCGAGTTGTTGCTGAAAAGGTATATTCTAATATAATTTATTTAACAATATTACGATTAATAAGTAGCTAAAAAAAATTTTTTTTTCTTACAGGTTTACAAAAACAGTTTCGATTGTTTACGAAAAACCTACAAATTCGAAGGTTTACGAGGTCTGGAAAAAGGACTTGTGCCTTCTATCTTAAAAGAGTGTTCGAAGAACGTCTTTCGCCTGGTAAAACTTATTCCAATGTTTAAACATAATAACAATCGAACCGAATTAATATTAATCATCAATTTATTTAATAGGGACTTTATGATCCAATTCTCGCTGTAATTCATCCAACTGATGATTCTACTTCATCATCTTCTGCACCCGCTTGGAAACGAATGTTTGCGGGTGGTTTATGTGGAGCATTGGGTGCGGTATCGGCGAATCCCTTTGAATTAGTAAAAACACGATTACAAAGTACAGCGGCTGTTGCTATTGCAGTTGGAAATCAATATGGATATACATCGGTGACTTCCGCATTACGACGTATAATGCACGAGGAAGGCGGTATAAAAGGTCTTTACCGTGGATCAATGATATCTGTTGGGCGAGGGATACTGGGAAGTGCGGCAAATTTATCGTCCTATACTATGTTAAAGGATTATGCCAAACGTGAAGGATATTCCGATGGCATTCCACTTGACATGGCATGTAGCTTGATAAGCGCATTTGTCAGTGTAATTTTTATGAATCCTTTGGATGTTGTGTAAGTAATATTACTTATTATTATGCAATAAAGTTTCTTTTCATATATAATATTAAATTATTTTTATCTTTCTCAACAGTCGAACGCGTTTATATAACACATCATCAATCACATCGAATCAATCCTTACTTTCTACCACTGGAATTATCATCAAGAATGAAAGATGGACAGCTTTATATCGAGGATTTTGGACTCATTTTATGCGAATTGGGCCACATTTTTGTTTGACTTTTGTTTTCCTAGAACAATTAAAGCGAGGAGTTAGGCAACTCCGTCTGGAAGAGTATCAACGCCAACTTCAAACATATCACAAAGCAACCACTGATCTTAAGATGTAATGTTGGTTAAATATAGTATAAACATAAAAATTTTTAGTTAGCATTTAAATTGCATCAAATTTAATAGTTTATTTTTATTTTTTTCAAATATTGAATTTCTAGTTTTTGTAAAAAATTTTTACTTTTTCTCAACCACAATTAATTCTGTGTATAAAACTTATACAATAGATAGAAGACAACTAAATTTAGAAATATTTATTAATTTTTATATATATAAGATTTAAATAAGTTGCATCATCTCACTTTGAGATTTTTACATAATAAAATTAATATAAGTTATGCTTAAGATTTGGTAACGAGCTTGATGTAATCTTTGAAAAATCCGTGTTCAAAAATGTGTCATGTTGCATGTATGACATCTCTATTAACGTAAAATGTAATAGTATAAATGGTCCATTGTGAGTGCGCCTATCACTATTTCTATGACTCATATTTACATAATGACAATGTATACACTATCTGCTATGTGCATAAATATATAAATGGCTAATTATAACGTAATTCTGATTTGTTATAGATTTCATCTTTTTTAGATTATCTGTCACAGAGGGTGAAATTACATTCATGAACCTATCGGTCATCTCCATTTTAATTAGTCAACAAAAAGAGGCACATGATACCTATGATTGTCTCCCATAATAACAATAATTTTAAATTTTTTTCAGTATAATGAGGAGGTTCGTTATAAAAATAGTGCCTAAATTGTGTTTATTTAGACAATTTTATTATTAATCACTATACCAAGATCACCGGGTACTATTATTTCATTCTTAAATGGCGAAAATAAATGAATTTTTTTATGAAATTTCACATGCGTTTGTGCTTATATACAAGAATGGTGATATTATTGTGTAAATAATAACAATTCAATAAGAAATAACATTAATAATTGTTTATAAAAAAAACATCAAAACTATAATTATCGTTATCTTTTTAAAAAAAATTTTATTAGTAAAAATATACATTTGCATTCTTTAAAAAAGATGAAGTACGTTATTTATAATAGATTTTTTTTTTTTTTTTTTAAAAAAAAAAAAGAGTACGATTGTATTAGGGGAAATGTGATGTGCCTGTACAATATTTAACATTCGGTCTGAACCGACTCGACATCCGGAGTTAAAACGTTTAACATCCGTATTGTATATTTGTATAGAATATATTAAACCAAACTATCGGTGCTGCTCACTTCATCGACGCTCATAAAAAAAAATCCGAAACTGGTGACACCTGATGACAAAATCTCCGAAACTTTGAAACCTAGTGAAATAACCAAAAACCTGGCAAACTAAAACTTGATGGTAAAATTAGAGAAAAAATATCCATATAATCATATGATTTGTCATAGGTCATATTAAATGATAGTAAAAAATATTTTTTCTACATTAAAAAGGTCATAAACGATAAGTAGTGATGGGCAAATTGCGATGGTAAATTTGGTGGTCATTTGGTATATTAAAATGATTTCAAAGGTCATTTACCACTCTTAAATATTCCGCGCGGGATGCGTGATCTTTGGCCCGAATTATGTTAATGCAGTTGGAATTCAGAAAAATACTATGCGGCGTTGCCTATCACTAGTCATAAGTTCATTTGGAGCGATTTTGATCACGTGATTATGTACCAATACATCTTCATCGGTCACATCGGCTAACACTAGGTTTCACAACTATACTATATACCAAAAAATATAATATAATATTTTAACCAATAGAATTTTACACATATAACAAAACAAAATTTATAAAACTTTTAAGTTTTATTTTCTATTAATTTTTGCTGTTTAATAAGTATAAAACATTTTCTTTGAAGTGTTGTTTATTTATAAAATATAAACTCTTGTTAATTAGAGTTTTGTATAGCTATATTGTATAGAGATTTGAAAGTTTTATTAGATTTAAATATTTTAGTTATATAGTTATTTTCTAAATTGATATTAAAAAAGATATAATAGTTAGTAGATTTTTAATTGTTAGATTATAAATTAAATCTGTTATATTAGTATTAAGTTTTAATTTGTTAAAAGAATTGTTTATGAAAAGCCTAGTTTAAACTATAGTACTATATATAGCTAATATATTAATAGTATATAAGTTTATAATATATTAGAGTTTAGATTATAATTTAGATATAAAATATAGTTAATTTGTAAATTAAAATAATAAACTATATAGTTTAAATTATAATTAGTAATCTAATAAGTTATTAATATAGTTATTAGTTAAAAAAAATTTATAAATTTTTTTTTAAAATTATTTAATTATTTATAATTAATAAAATTTATAGTTTTTTAATTTTAAAATAATTTGTATTTAGTAGAAAAAAATTAGATATTAATTTTACAATTTCTTTAGTATATAAGATTATTTAAATTGTTTCTTTTAGAAAAAAGTATTATAAAAACTATTTTTTTTTTTTTTTATCGTTAAGGCAGCTTACATTGACAAAGAAATTTTATTAGAATTATCAATAGGATTATACATTGATAATCCCTACTGTTTGTAATTACATGAAGAGTATACAACAAGCTATATGTACAACTTTAGTTATTGTCTATTTTAAGTAGTCCACTGCATAGGTATTAGATCACTTGATTGGTTCTACACTATACTGCTATACCTGTAACCTGCCTGTGAGTTATCTATTTAAACACTCTGTTTATTAACCTATACAGATTTAATCTAATATCACTACAACGTCTAACCACTTAAGCTAGCTAGCTCGTTACAGATCTATTTATTCAGAACGGCTTAGGTCCTCTCAGAATATATTATACTAGACATATTGCTAGTATCGTAGAGCCAGTTAATCTTGAAGCAAATTTACTAGAGTAGTCTGTATTCATTTTATGGATTCATCCAGTTTAGACTCTTGTAGATGTTCATACAACCTCAGGTTCTATTGTGATTCTCTACTGGTCAGTCAACTTAGTCCTTTTCCAGTATTAAGCCAGTCCCAGTTACTCTTTGCTCAGAAATCTCGAAACCTTCTACCTTTATTAGATCGAGTTTTCTTTGCAGATCAGACTTTAGCTGATATAGTCCTGTTGGAAGGCTATACTACTTCACTAACTCAGAATTTCTACTATGCAGATCTCCTACCTGTATATCCTATTAAGATTTATTTATATAACGTTATACTACACTTCTAAGTTTTGATCAATTTGGTACAACTCAATTTATAGGGGTATGCCTCCAAAAAGAACAGGGTTTATTGTAATATATTACAAGGTCTAAAAAATTATTCAAATTTATCAACAGTGGGATTTGAACCCAGACCTATTACATGGTGGTCTGACAACCTAACTACTATACTAGGTTACCAGATCTTACTATTTTTTTTAAATAAATAATAAAATTAAAAAAAGATATATTACTATTTAAAACATATATTATTTTTATAAATTATAAGTTAGTCTAAATAAATAAAGTTCTTTTTATAAAGCTATTGTTTAAATATTAAATAAAAAAAATATTTGTTAAATATTTGTTTTAATAAATATGTATTATATTAGTAAGTTTTAAATTACTGATAATTGTTATTAATAGTAATATCTTTTTTTTTTTTTTTTTTTTTTTTTTTTTTTTTAATATGTTAAATATAGAAAGCAAATAGTTATATAATAAATATCAAGATGATATTAGATTTAAACTATTATTAATTATTTCTATATAGTACTATAAAGTGTAATATATTACCTTCAATTTTTTATTTATAAACTAGTTTAAGTTAAGTTAAAACAAAGCTACTACTAGTTAAAGAAGAGGAAGAAGAGAAACTTTGAATTTAGTAATTATTGTTAGTTAAATATAAAAAGTATTAGAATATTTTGAATAAACCATTTTTGTATATTTGTATCAATATTACTATTGATAATAGTAGTTGAGTTTGATAATATATTGAGATATTTATGAGATTTGGGGTGTAAGTTATTTTTGTTCGTTTAGATTTATTAATGATATTTCTTAGAATTTCCTAGTTATATTAGTATTTGTTTCTTGGTTGCCAGATTTTTTAATTAAACTAATCAAGTAAAAGATTTGAGAATATAGTACAAAAAGAAGTAGTATTTTTGTGTAGGAAGAAGTGTAGTTAAGTAATAATATTTATGGAAAAAGTTCCTTGAATTAAGTGCAGTATATAGTTAGCATGAGGAGAATTGTTGTTTTGTGAAAGAATAATTTAGTAGAAATTTTGTGAGAGTATATTGTTAATATTTAGTTGTAACAGAGTTTGAGAAATAGTTTGTAATAATATTTGTAAGTAGTTTAAAGTTTGTGAGTATTGAAAGAGATGTTATAAGTTTTCAGATGAGTTGTAATAAGTATAGTTTGAAGTGAGGTATATAGATAGTAGTTAGAGGTTTAAATTAGCTTCTGCAGATAAATTATTGAATAGAATTTTTATGCAAAAAGTATAAAAATATGAATTAAGATTTTGAAAGTTAATAATATTAAAAAATAGTTTTATATTGAATTTAGAAATATTGTTAATATTTTGAAGTTGTAAAAAATAGTTAGTAGTTTTAGTGAGAATAAAATTTTTTCAGAATTTTCTTATTTGTATAAGGGATAAGGAGTTTATGCCAAGAGAAAAAGGTTGAAAAGTTTAAGAAATTAAGATTTAGTACAATAGGTTGTCAGTTTGTATTTCTTTTTGCTAAGAGATTAGTATTTTAGTAAAAAGTATTTTTAGGGTAAGATTTAATTTTGTGAAGTAAGAGTGAAATATTTTTGTTTTTAGTAAGATAGTTTATAATGTGTGAGATATCCCAGTTTTCATTTTTAATTTGAGTATTTGAAGTATTAGATAGTAGTAATTTTTTTAAAGATTAAATAGCAAAAAGATTGTTTAAATAAATGTGAATATTGAGATTGTTTAGAAGAATAAGAAGTATATAAATAATAGATTCAAGCTCTGCACGTGTAGTATTATATGTATTAGTTGAATTTGCATTAAACTTGATACTTGTATTATTTTCTAGAATCCAACTAATACTAGCT